TTAAACTACTTGCCAAACTAAGGCAGCTTGGGACACATGAAACCCTGTCTCCAATTTAAAAAAATAGTTCCTTACTGTGTGAAACGCATTTGCATGGCCAGAGAGATGGCTCAGTAGTTAAAGGCTCCTGCCTCCAAACTGAGCACCTGAGTTCAGTTCCTCAGACTCACATGGTAGAAGAGAACTGACTTCCACAAGTTGTTATCTCAGGGTCTAAAAAGCAAAGACCAGAGAGCTTCAGAGTCATGACAAGCTTCCAAGAGGCGGTAATGAATCCTCACACAGATGGATCTACACACCTGTCTCTGATCAAAAGTTACTGGACTGAATTTCAGCAAAGTTACCCTCTCTCCCTCCACTTAGTGCTGGCGGGGCTTTCATCATGATCTTATCAGCTTGGAATGAAGATAGAAACCGTGGGATAGCCGGGCGTTGGTGGCGCACGCCTTTAATCCCAGCACTCGGGAGGCAGAGGCAGGAGGATCTCTGTGAGTTCGAGGCCAGCCTGGTCTACAAAGTGAGTTCCAGGACAGCTTCCAAAGCCACAGAGAAACCCTGTCTGGAAAAACCAAAAAAAAAAAAAAAAAAAGAAAAAAAAAAGGAAAAAAAGAAAAGAAACCGTGGGCTAGCAGGTGCCCAGTGGGAGGGAGGTCGATGACCTGTTCTGTGAAGCCTCAAGGTCACTCAGTTCACGATCATCAGACACCAGAGCCATCAGGTGGATGGAGGGCCATCTCTCTTTTGTGTCATACACTGAGAATCTGCCGATCAAGAATATGTTCCACCAGAAAGAACACACTCTCAAAACCAAACCAAAACAACAAATTCTGACCTTGGAAATTATTAAAAATATAAGAATTCAATAGAAGCCAGGCATTGGTGGCGCACGCCTTTATTCCCAGCACTCGGGAGGCAGAGGCAGGCAGATTTCTGTGAGTCTGAGACCGGCCTGGTTTACAAGAGCTAGTTCCAGGACATCTTCCAAAGCCACAGAGAAACTCTGTCTTGAAAAATCAAAAAAAAAATATATAAAAATGTGTTCCAACTTTTAATTTATAACTTCAACTTACATTTTCTTACAAATTACATTTTTCATAAGAACTGATAGCATTTCTGAAAAGCACTTTAGTGTTTCCCCATATGTGCAGTTTTAACAGTCCTTGGCAGGGCTGGAGACATGAGAATTCCAAACCACACCCAGACAGAGTGTCAGGTGGAGCTCAACAGTCAGACTGCAAGGCTCCTCTGTTGTCTAGGAAACCGAGGCTACACGGGATCGTGGCTCCCCAAAGTAGCTTTGGCCCAGAGGGTGGATGTTTTGTTTTGTTTTGTTTTTGAGACCAGTTTCTCTGTGTAGCTTTGGAGCCTGTCCTGGAACTCTTTGTAGACCAGGCTGGCCTTCAACTCACCTTGAATTTACCTGCCTTTGTCTCCTGAGTGCAGGGATCAAAAGTGTGTGTCACCACAACCAATTCATTTTGTTGTTTTGAGACAGGGTTTCTCTGTGTTTCATTGGCTGTCCTGGAATTTACTTTGTAGACCAAACTGACCTGAAACTCTCGAGATCTGCCTGCCTCTGCCTCCCAAGGGCCTGGGATTGAGGCGTGTACTACCACACCCAGCTAAGGTTAGCATTTTAAAATCAGTACGTCATGGGATAGAAGCAATTCCACAGCATTCCTGTGGATGTCAGGGGACAATTTTTTGAAGTCAGTTCTCTCCATCCACTTTTTTTTTTTTGAGACAGGGTCTCTATATAGTCCTGTTCTATATGTAGACCAGACTGTCCTTGACTTTACAGAGATCCTCCTGCCTCTGCCTTCTGAGTGCTGGAGTTAAAGGCATGTGACACCATGCCCAGCTTTCCATTCACTTTTATGTGAGTTCTGGAGGTCTAATTCAGAACACCAGGCCTGTACAACCAACACTTTGCCTTCTGAGCCTTTTAGCCCAAGGTCAAGCAGTTCTCAACAATTTTGATCTTCAGACCTCTTATTATTTTCAAATTAGTTTTTGGAAACAATGTCCCTCATATCAGCCTGGTCCTGAGTTTGCTGTGTAGCCAGGGATGATCTTGAACTATTGATCCTCTAACTGCCTCCTCCTCAGCCTGGGATGGCAGGTGTGCGCCACCACACCTGGTTTCTGTAGAACTGGTAGCAACCATTGTAAGCGTTTCGTCGGGATGGGTCAGGACAGGATGGAACAGGAGTGAGTGGGTCAGGTATTTTGGCACTCGGGAGTCACAGAATACCCAGTGTTACACAGCTCAGGTGGAAAGGTATCCTGGAGCTCGGGAGCCAAGGATACTGAGTGTTACACAGCTCAGGTAGAAAGGTATCCTGGAGCTCGGGAGCCAAGGACCACCACGGGTTGCAGTAAGCTTGGCAGCTTACAGCCTTGCCTCAGAGAAAGGCTTCTCCGGTGTGTCAGCTCCGCTCCGGCAGGACAGGGTCTTCCAGCTGGGGATGTTCGCCTAGTGTAGCAGTTTTGCTCCGCAGGAGGTTTCTCGGGCGAAGTTGCTACAGTTCAGCTCTGCTCCTGGAGAGCCGAGCGGAGAGCAGGGAGCCGGGCGGGAGCAGAGTGTAACAACTCCGCTCTGCCAAGGAAGGTTTCCCGGGCAAGTGTTACAGCGCTGCTCGCTCTGCTCTGCTCTGCTCTGCTCTGCCCAGGGTCGCCTCTGCTCGCTCTGCTCTGCTCTGCCCAGGGTCACCTTTGCTCTGTCGCAGCCGCAAAAGAAGATCTTCACCCGAAGCTCATCCAAAGGTGTTTATTGGAAGACAGCTGGACCAGCCAAGCTGAACATACACAGGGTTTATATAGGGGTTCCTGGGGTTGGGGAAGTTTTTCCAGGGTAGGGATTGGTCCGATTTCAGTGCTGAGCTCAGATTGGCTAGAGCTCTGCTCCGGGATTGGTTACTTTTTTACACAGGATTAGGGTCAGATTTGGCTCTGGTTTCAGGGCCAAAGTGTGTTTCTTTCTCTGGTCCTTTTTAGCCTTTTGGCTCCAATTTTAGGGCCAGGGTACATTTCTTTCACTGACTCTGATTCCAGGGACAAAGTGTGTTCCTTTGGCACTGGTTTTAGGGTCAGGGTACATTTCTTTGGTTCTGGTTGCAGGGCCAAAGTGTGTTTCTTTGGCTCTGCTCAGGGTGTGTTTCTTTGACTGGTCCCTTTTCCCTACAACCATACCTCCCTCTTTAAACCTTAAAATAGTTTTGCTACTTTGAAGTTTTATTTTAGTTGATATCTATCAAAAGTCTTGCTACATAAAAGTAAAATGAGCTGGGCGGTGGTGGCTCACACCTTTAATCCCAGCACTCGGGAGGCAGTGGCAGACGGATCTCTGTGAGTTCGACACTAGCCTGGTCTACAAGAGCTAGTTCCAGGACGGCCTCCAAAGCCACAGAGAAACCCTGTCTCGAAAAAACAAAAAAAACAAAACAAAAAAAACAAAAAACAAAAAAAAAGTAAAATGAAGGATGGGGCAGTGATGGTGCACATCGTTGAGCCCTGCACTCAGGAGCCAGAGGCAGGCGGATCTCTGTGAGGTTGAGGCCAGCCTGGACTGCAAAGCAAGTTGCAGGACAGGCTCCAAAGTTACATCAAGAAGCCCTTTTCTTTTCTCTTATTATTTATTTGTTTGTTTATTTATTACATATACAGTGTCCCACCTGCATGTTTGCCTGCATGCCAGAAAGGGCACCAGATCTTACTTTAGATGATTGTGAGCCACATGACCTCTGCAGGAGCAGTCAATGCTCTTAACCTCTGAGCCACGTCTCCAGCCCCCAAGAAACCCTTTCTTGAAAAACAATAAAATAAAATAAAATGAAGGACTGAGAGGAAGCTCTGGCAGGGACTATGCCTAATATATGTGAGACTCTAACTAACTTCAGTCCCCAGTGCTCCGATTCACTGTAGAGTCGAAGCTGGCTTTGGATTTGCAGTAATCCTCCTGCCTTCGTCTACACAGTTCCGGGACTACAGGTGGAGCCACCATGCCTGGTGGTTCTGGAGAGACGGCCGATTCATTAAGAATAGTGGCTGCTCTCACAGGGGACCTAGGCTTAATTCCAAATTCCAGGGGATCCAATGTCCTCTCCTGATGTCTGTGGGCAGGAAACATATGTATGTGGTGCAGACATATATGCAAGTGAAACACCCACATACATGAAATAAATGATTGCTAAACCAAAGAGAAGAATAGAATTGCTTTCTATTCCACAAAACCCGCTGAGGTCTAGCTGAAGGGTTGGTAACCAGAGGCAACCATTACAGAGAATTTTCCCATCCATGCTTTTCCTTTATATTTAGCATTTTTTTGTATATCCATGGAACTTCAAGTAGTATACATTTTAATTTTAAAATTATATTTATTTATTTGTGTGCATACCTATACTTGCATCCTAGCACATATGTGTAGGTAAGAGGACTACTTTCCCGGGAGTCAGTCCTCCCCTTGCTACTGTGTGGGTCCCGAGTATGGAACTCGAGTTGGCAAGTTTGGTGGCAAGCACCTTTGCTTTTGAAGACATCTTCCTAGCCCCCCAAGGAGCATGCATTTAAATTTCAGTTGCTTCTGGGTTATAAAAAGGATTTCCCATTTTTCTACAGTGACTTGATTCATCCCCTTAATTATATGGCCAAAATGATGTTGTGCATTCATGCCATGCCCTCACCCATTTTTCTGTGGTCTTTCCCATGGCCCACCCAGTATGTGCTGGAAGAGACTAGGGAACCTACCCTGCAAAGGTAGGCACCCTAGAATAGGGGTTGCCTTCACATCCAGTCACTATCCAGACATGATCCTTCCATTCCTTCGTCTCTCCCTCCCTCCCTCTCCACTCGGTCCGTTTTGATGTGTTGGGAAGCTGCGGGGCCTCCCAGCCTACGGTCTCACCTTCTCTGGTAAACACATTACACAAGGCTTACAATCCTAGGCTCCGCCCCGCCCCTCCTCCTACCAGCGCCTTTACGTCATCTGCCTGCGCCGGAAGTATGCCAGGTTGCGGGCGGGAGGCTTGCCAGTGGCGATGTAGGTTCGTTCTCTCACAGGCATGAGCGATGCACTGGCTGCTGCCGCTGTCCCACACACTAATACTGTCCATCGTGCGCGTGAAGCGAGGCATTTGCGGCCTCGGGATGTTCTATGCGGTGAGGAGGGGCCGCAGGACCGGAGTCTTCCTGAGTTGGTGAGACGGATCCCGGCGGAGCCCTTTATTCCAAACACCAAACAGCTGTGTTGCAGTCAAAGACTGCTAAAGAGCACATAGAACCATTGCAGGCCAGGGCTGGCAGGAGGATCCCCGTTTTCTGACCGTTCCTGTGGTTGTTTTGTGTGTGAGACTGGACGCCCTGTACCAAATTCAGGAATTGCAGACAGGCACCATTACGGGTTTATGTAGTACTGGGGCTCGAACCCACGGCTCAGCACAGGCTAGACAAGCAGCGGAGTTACATCCTCAGCCCCTCCTGTTTTTAAAAAGGATAGTCGTTGTCAGGTGTGGCACGTGTTTGTAAACTCAGTACTGATGAGTGTGAGGCAGGAGGATCACTACAAGTTAATGGTCAGCATGGCCTATGGAAGGAAGGAGACCTCAAAGAGAGGAGGAAGGAGAAGAGAGAGATGGAGAGTCTCAAGGTAGAAGCTAGTCTTTTGCCTTCGGATCCTTGCAGCAGTCCCCGAAGGCAGATGTTGTTTTCAGTTTCACGGGTGGCGTAACCACGTTGGGAGCATATATGACAGTAAGCTCCTCATGTCAAGGTTTGTTGTCTCTGTGCGCCTGTATTATTTCCCTAGGTTCAACGGCAACACTACTGAATGTTGCCAGCCCTTTTGCTGTGATTGATTTGTTGTTTGTTCTGGTTTGATTTTTTTTTTTTTTGAGACAGGGTTTCCTTTTGTAGCCTGGGGTGTCCTGGAACTCTCTCTGTAGACCAGGCTGGCCTCGAACTCACAGAGATACCTCTGCCTCCCAAGTGCTGAGATTAAAGGCATGCTCCATTGCCCCCAGCTTTGATTGCTTCTTAAAGATAACAAAATTTTAGTGTGCACCGGTGTTGTGGAGGACCTTATGGTATTAGTGTACTGTCTGGATGGCATTTAGCAGAATGGTCAGGCCAGTTTTAACACAGAAATGAAGCTAAATCATGAGGTATATTATGAAGACCTAAAATGAGTTATTAAAGATGAAACAGTATGAAAAAACACTTACTATATTGTGCTAAGAGAAAAAGGCAATTTGAAATGGTCTACAGTGTGTGATTCCAACTATATGACATTCTGGAACAAATCTGGAAATCGAAAAGAGTCAGTGGTTTTTAGGGGTTAGAACTGGGGGGGGGTGATTATGAGAGCAGATAGATTTCATTTATTTGGAGACAGGCTGGCCTTCAACTGAACTAGCTATAAACCAAAGATGACTTTGAATTTCTGATATTTTGTCTCCACTTCCCAAATGCTGGGATTATAGGAGTGTGCTCCCAAACCAAGGTGTTTGGGGGACAGGGTTTCTAGGTATCACTGGCTGGCCTAGACCTGCATATAGATCAGGGTGGCATTGAACTTGTGATCCTCCTGCTTCTGCCTCTAGCATGTGGGGTTATAGATGCTTCAGCCCCAGCCTACAGGAGGGGCTTTCTAATGCAGAAGGTTGATCTGGATGATGTGGTCATGTAGACCCATGCCACTGTCATTATGCATTCACTAACCCTGGAGACTTTTTGTTTGTTTGTCAAGACAGGGTTTCTCTGTGTAACAGCAGCCCTAGCTGTCAGACTTGTAAACTTTACAGCATCGTGAGTGAGCCCACCCCAGTGTAAGCAGTGGACTAGTAACATTTGGAGGCAGAGGTTTAAGAGGACTTTCTACTTTCTGTTCCTAGCTGATGTGACTCTAAAACTGGTGTAAAACACCCATAAGCCATGTGGTGGTGGCACACCTTGGATCCCAGCACACGGGAGGCAGAGGCAGAAGACCTCTGTCTACAGAGTGAGTTCCAGGACAGCCAGGACTACACAGAGAAACCCTATCTTGAAAAACCATCAATAAGATAAAATAAACAATAAGGATGTAAATTGAGGAGGGAATGAAGCCTGGGCTAATGTATGCACTCTTCTAGGAGTGAGTGCAGAGAACAGGTGGACCGGTTTCCTGCTGCCAGGTTTAAGAAATTTGCCACAGAAGATGAAGCTTGGGCCTTTGTCAGGAGCTCTCCAAGCCCAGATGGTTCAAAAGGTATGTAACATCAGTGTGAAGTTCTAACCTATGAAAAGCCCCTTGCGTCCTCAACATCATGATTGTCTGTTTTCCTCTGTACAGATTAGAGTTAAGAATAGTGGGTGATGGTGGTACATGACTTTAATCTCAGCCTTCGAGAGTCGGGGGCAACCAGATTTCCAAGGCTGAGGCCAGTTTGGTGTATAGAGTTCCAGGGCAGCCAGGGCTAAACAAATCCTGTCTCAAAAAACAACAAACAAACAAACAAAAAGTGTTTCAGAGGACCAGAGTTTGATTCTTAGCATCCATGTTGGGTGACACAATTTCCTGTAACTCATGAGGGATAGATGCTTGAACACTACACACACACACACACACACACACACACACACACACACACACACACACACACACACACGTATGGTGCCTAGGATTGGGAATTCAAGGCATGAAAGACACAGCTGTTTGCAGAACTGGCCTACATGGCAGGACCCTGTAAAAGCAAACAAATACACAAAATGTTATCAGTTCTAGGACTCCGTTCTCCAGTTGAGTGCTCATAATGTCACTAGGCCATAGTTCATAAATCACACCACTTAAGTTTCTTTTTCTTCTTTTTCTTCACAGCGGAAGCATTTTTAAAAAGATTTTATTTATTATATATACAGTGTCCTGTCTGCATGTATGGTTGCAGGCCAGAAGAAGGCACCAGATCTCACTACAGATGGTTGTGAGCCACCGTGTGGTTGCTGGGAATTGAACTCAGGACCTCTGGAAGAGCAGCCCATGCTCCTCTGAGCCATCTCTCCAGCCCTCCCACTTAAGTCCTGGAAGCAAGAGTCCTACTATAAGGGATACCAGATCTAGAGCACATATACAGGACTCTGGTCAGCAAGCTCACTAATTTAGAACACTGGATAAAAACAACAACAGCAAAACAATAAAACCCAAAAAAGTATATCTGAACCTCCCTTGGGAAATGGGGTTTCACGGTCTTATTTATTTATTTATTTATTTATTTATTCATCTATTACTATTTTTTTTTTCAGTGGGAGCCTTGGAATGTGGGATAGTTTGTTCTTAACCATTCCCTCTTGGTAGGTTTACATCTAAAGTGCCCCACCCCAGTCTGGTGTGGTAATGGTAAAAACTTCCAGAATGCTGTCTGGTTTAGGACCGTGGTTGGAATCTTTTTTCAGGGCAGGACACCACTCGTGTGCAGGAACCACAGGTGAAGACCAGCAAGCGGCCTCGGGAGCCCGTGGGCGAAGGGGAAGAGCTGGCAGAACCAGGGTCAAAGCACACCAGACAGAACACGGAGCCGGCTCCCCCAGTGAGCAAGGACACGTTTTCTTATATGGGTATGCCTTTCTTGGGTTCAAATTTTTCAGTACAGTTATGAAAAAATGAATAACAATCAGCATGAAATGTTTTCCTTTCTAAGCGTGAAAGAATTTAAGTTCTTTGTTTTGTTGTTGGTCTTTTTGAGACAGGGTCTCAGTGGGTAGCCCTGGTAGTCTCGAACTCAGATTCTCCTGCTCCAGCCTCCTAGTGCTGGGATTAAGGGTGTAAGCTGATTCTTAGCCCCATTTTTTTCTGTAAAAATGTATAAAATTTCTAAGGTCTTTTATTTTGGAGGGAGGACATTAACAAAAAGTCCCCTTGGTTTCCTTCTTGGTAGTCCAGGGCTCTTATCAATGTTCTCCTACCCTTTACATTTTATTCTGCAGTAGGATCTCCCTGAGTTACCCAGGTTGGCATTGAACTCCTCTCTTTGAAGCCTAGACTAGCCTTCAACTTACTATCCCCTTTCTTTAGCCTCCCAGCAACCAGGCCTGGTAATGAGGCAACTTTTTTTTTTTTTTTTTTTTTTTTTTTTGGTGTTTCGAGACAGGGTTTCTCTGTGGCTTTGGAGGCTGTCCTGGAACTTGCTCTGTAGATCAGGCTAGTCTCGAACTCACAGAGATCCACCTGCCTCTGCCTCCCGAGTGCTGGGATTAAAGGCGTGTACCACCAACGCCCGGCCTGAGGCAACTTTTTTTTTGAGACAGGGTTTCTTTGTGTAGCTTTAGAGCCTGTCCTGGCACTTGTTCTGTAAACCAGGTTGGCCTCGAACTCACAGAAATCCACCTGCCTCTGCTTCCTGAACACTGGGATTAAAGTTGTGTGCTACCGCTGCCTATCAAGGCCACTATTTTATTGGGTATCAAATATCACAAAACCATTAATCTTTTGGAAATTGTTAGGAAACCCTTTACATAGCCAGAGGCTACTGAGGCAGAGGAAGGGGAGCGGAGCGCTCACCCAGAGCTGCCTGTTGGAGGCCAGCACATGGAGCCATTTATCCAGCCCTCAGACCTCACTGTGTCCTGAGAAAAAGAGATCATGGGCTCTTCCTGTGTTTGGCTCCAGTTTGTGTTCTTAGTAACTGTAGTATGTAAATTTCCTTTTTTGTCTTACATACATGGGAACAGAAAGATGCAGCATTTAAAGATGAATCAGCATTGGTATGTCCTGAGTTTTTGCCAAGAGGCAGCCATCTGTACTTTACCTCCAGGGAAGGCACCAGAAGACACTGGAGCTTGGAGCCCATGGGTTTGGCAGTTATCTAAGATGAACAAGTGTCCTTTCACTGCTCAGTGTGCTGCATAGTTGTATGTCAACGTGACCCAGACTAAAGACATGTAAGGGAATAGAAGCTCAATTAAGAGATGTCTCCATAAGATCAGGGTGTAGGCATTTTCTTAGTGTTTGATAGAGAAGGGTGTGACCCACAATGGGTGGTGCCATCCCTGGGCTGGTGGTTCTGGGTTCCTGGCACAGAGTCTTCAGTGTCTTCAAGGAAGGCTTGTTGTGTGGGTGGAAACCAACTTCTAGCTGACAGGAGGCCTGCCCAGCCTCTGCTCAAACGTTCCTAGCCTTGCTTCTTTGAGGGCCATTGATCTCCATGCTTCCCCTGAGCCTGCTGTGCTCAGCCCACTGTTCTCTAGACAGTGTCTCCTGTGGAGGTGGTCTCTGACTCCCCTTCTCCCACCTCAGACACTTTGCCAGTCAGTTTCTCCCTGCCCTCTGCTGAGGATGCTGCTGAACACACTCGGGCCTGACAGTGACCCCGGGTCTGTCCTTCCCACTTGAGCAAACCTTGTTTGAAAGGAAGCAGAGATGAGAACTACTTTACAGTTAGTGGCAAATGTGCTAAGAGAAAATGAGCCCACTTGCCAGCAAACATGACTGTCTGACATGTGGGGCCAACATCACGCCAAGCATTGCTTTCTCTGGAAAGACAGCTTAAGGGAGTCTCAGGCACAAGGGATCCTTTAGCTTGAGATATAAACAGGTCTTACAGTGGGGAGTTCTGTCTTACCTTTAACTCACCTGGCACGTGGGACAAGTAAAAAGTGGGCACACCTCATAGGGAGAAATCCATGTCATTTTGGACAGAAACTACAGCAGTGGCCTCCCTCTTCCCTCTTGCAGGAGAATCAGTTGTTGTTTACACAGACGGCTGCTGCTCCAGTAACGGGCGGAGGCGGGCGAGAGCAGGAATTGGCGTTTACTGGGGGCCAGGCCATCCCTTGTAAGTAAACAGTTGAGTGTGAACATCACATGTTTACCAAGTCTTGGCAGGATTTGTTTATTGATGTATTCTTGGCAAAGCCTGCCAGGTAAAGAGCTTTGGTGAGGACAGAAGACCAGCTTTGATTTATGTCAGTGCCAGGCAGCTTGGTTCTTGACAGTGCCAAATACTGAGACTTGGTATTGTTTCCCTGGGCCTAATTCGTACAAGTCTTAAGACATATGGGTAGAGGAGCCAGCCCACAGTGATGCAGGGACAGGATACCAGCTCCAAACCCATCCCATCACTAGACCTCTAGACTTGTTTTCTGGAGACAGGGTCTCCTTATGTAGCTCTGGCTGTCCTGGAACTCAACTGTTAGACCATGTTAAATATTTGCATGTATTCAACGTATTAACTAACTTAGGTAATAAGAGTGTTTGTTTTGTTTGTTTTTGTTCTCACTGGCTTGTAACTCATAGAGATTCTCTTGCCTCAGGCTCTCAAGTGCTGGGATTTTCAGTGTACACCAAGCTGGGCAGTGGTGGCTCAGGCCTTTCAAGAAATCCTGTCAAAGTGTGTACTACCATGCCCAGCCTTGCATAATGAACTTTTTTATATCTTCAACCTTGAATCTTTTTGTTTTGTTCCTGTTTGTTTAGATAGGGTAGACCAACAGGCCTCCAAGTCACAGAGATCCTCCTGCCTCTGCCTCCAAAGTGCTGGGATTACAGGTGGTTTTCTAGTGTTTTGTTGTTTGCAGGTGTTGGTATTTGGACCAGGCTCTTTAATCAACCTTTTGTTTGTTTGTTTTTCAGACAGGGTTTCTCTGTGTAGCTTTGTAGACCAGGCTGGCTTTGCACTCACAGAGATCCGCCTGCCTCTTCCTCCCAAGTGCTGGGATTGAAGGCGTGTGCCATCACTGCCTGGCTTGGACTAGGGTCTTGTGGGGGCTTGGTTTGTTTTTTGAGGCTGTTTGTATGTAGGCTTTATGTTTCAGTTGGAAATGAACACTAGTTTGTTATTATCCATTGAGAAGAATTACTTTGGGAATTAGAATTGTAATTTTGTTCTTTCTTGTGCTGTTTTGAAACAGAAATGTAGGTGTTAGACTTCCTGGGCGACAGACAAACCAGAGGGCAGAGATCCATGTAAGTTCCCAGATAATCGTGAGTCTGCCTTTCCTCCATGTGACCCCAAGATCAGTCTTGTTCCCTTCCTTTGTTGTCTTGCATAGAAGATATTGAAAGTCCACAAGAAACTTTGAGGCTAACAATGGTCTTCAGAGATAGAAAAGTTCTAGAATCATTTCATGTAGGCTTCATGGGGGCATTGTAGGTTTAGCCTCTTCACCTAACAGCATGGTGGAACAGAAAGAAGAGTGCTTCAGGCTTAAAGCACTCGGTCGGTAATGCACACAGCATGACCTCGGGCTTATTTTTCAAGGCAGCCTGCAAAGCCATCATGCAAGCCAAGGCTCAGAACATCAGCAAGTTGGTTCTTTACACAGACAGCATGTTCACCATCAATGGTAAGCTTTCCCGGGCACGGAGAAGGGGAGCAGGCCTTTCTTCCTAGTAGGAGGTGGCATAACAGTCCTGGATGACACTGGGCTTTTCAAGTTTGGAGGAATAGGAGTGTAGGTCTGCTGTCTTGGGGGATTGGGACTCCTTGGCTCCATAACACCCGAGGCCATGATGTTAGTAACTTCGGGTCACAGTGCCCTGGCTGGGGGAGGCTGAGCTCTTGTTCCTCCAATTGGATGTAAGGAGAGGAAAGGTTGGGGCTGTGGGACTGTGCTGAAGGCTTAAGCAAGGGAGAGCACCTAAGGAAGGGAATCATCCAGGCTTTGACTCAGATCAAGAGGAGCCATTGAGAGGAGAGACTAGGGGCCAGGAGAGGCCGGGCCCTCCCAATGGGTGAGCCTGTGAGCATGTGTCCCCTAGGGATAACCAGCTGGGTTCAGGGCTGGAAGAAGAATGGCTGGAGAACAAGCACAGGGAAGGACGTGATCAACAAGGAGGACTTCATGGAGCTGGACGAGCTCACCCAGGGCATGGACATCAAGTGGGTGAGTCACGCTTCGCATTGCATGGTCTGAATTTTCTGAGAGGATGGAGTTGGGAAGGGGTGCAGAGTGACTGGTTAAAGTAGCAGCTTCCATAAAGTTAATGTGTTTTTTTGTTTGTTTTTGTTTTTAGAGACAGGGTTTCTCTGTGGCTTTGGAGGCTGTCCTGGAACTTGCTCTTGTAGACCAGGCTGGTCTCCAACTCACAGAGATCCACCTGCCTCTGTCTCCCGAGTGCTGGGATTAAAGGCGTGCGCCAACAACACCCGGCCCATTAATGTACTTTTTATCTGTGTTAATTAGACACAAGAATGGGTTTCATTGTGACATTGTCCTGCGTGTACATTGTGTTTTGGGCATAACCGTTCCCTTCCTCTTTCTCTCCTCCTTTCATGGTTTTCTGTTTCCCGTGTCTAATTGGTTTGTTTAATTGGTTATATACATAGTACAAATGAATGGTTGTTTACAGTAGCATGGGCACCTTAGCTGTGTCTATAGTACTGAAGAAAGTCTGTCCTCTCTCATAAACCATTAATTGCCCAGGATATAAGGGGACCTTATGCACCCCTCCCCGATCTGGGAGAGTGTTGACAGGTCCAGTTGTGGGCAGGTCCTGTGCTGCTAATCAATACTTAAATGAGTTCATGAGTGCAGTAGCATGCCTTGCCTGGAAGGTGACATTCTATGACACTCCACTCCTTTCTCCCTGTTACATTCTTTTCTCCCATGATGTATCCTGCCTGAACCTTGGAGTGAGTGACATGGATGTCCCATTTATGACTGAGCACTCAACAGTCACTTATCTCAGGCCAGTTATGGGTCTGCAGTAATTGCCACCCATTTAAAAAAGGAAAAAAAAAAGGTTAACCTAACAGCATTGACCTATGAGCAAAACCACAGGCATTTAGCAGAAAACACTATGGCCTGTGACTGCCCAGTTAATGCTTTGATAGGTTTACAGTACCAGATGTGAATTCCTCCTGTAGGTTAGGCTGTAACTTCAATCAGAAGTCAGGTGGTAACCTCCAAAACAGACTTGTCACTATTCTCTGTGCACGTTACCTGTTGGGTTGGTGTTATGGCATGTTCACAGCCGAGTAAGACTTCTTCCCCACCAGCCTTCATAGCGCCTTCCCAAGCTAGAGAGCTAACAGCAGGGTGGCAGCTTCCAGATCAGTTTCTGGTTGGTGTCTGTAGGTCCTACAGACAAGTGTGTGTTGTCTTCAGCAGTAGGGTCTTGGCATCTAGTTCTGGTGGCCAACCAAGAGCAGTGGAACAGCCTATATTGTTCTGGGGTCTTGGTGAACTTCTTAGCCAAATAGTCTATATATTCTTGTCATCTTGAGTAGTGGGTTTGTTGGAGGCAGGCAGTTGTAGCTCAAGTTAGTCTGAAATGTGCTGTGAAGCAAGGGTGATCTTGATTCTTTGATACTGGCAATGTTGGGACTGCAAGCACATGTCACCTGTTTGTGTGGCACTCAGAATTGAAATACTCTACTAGCAGAACCATGACTCCAGCCCTAGTATCTTACCCTGTTCAGAGGATGGGGCTGTGAACATGAGCTTTGACTGTCAGTACACATAAACATCAGAAAAAATTCAAGTTTTTTTTTTTTTTTTTTAACAGATACACATTCCTGGTCACTCTGGATTTGTGGGCAATGAAGAGGCTGACAGGCTGGCAAGGGAAGGCGCGAAGCAGTCTGAAGCCTGAGCAAAGTAGGTGCGGTGCACGCAGACCCGAGGCAGCAGCTGTTCCTTTACCCTGATACGCAGAGAGGCCACAGCATGGAGGACTGGCGTGGGACCTGTGACACAGCTGATGAGAAGTGCTTCAATAATGGAAAGGGAAGGCTGAGCTGACACTTCAGTTCTGTGCCTTTTGGGGATGGTATTATTGTTTGATTTGTTGCCGTCTGGCCCAGAGTGCTCCAGCAAGCCTGGTGGTAGTGATACACAAAAACAAAACAAAAACATGCTGCAACTTGATTTCAGTAGCCACTGTTCAGTATGCGCAGTCTGAAGGTTCCAGAACGTCCATTTTCCTCCCAATGTGCACAAGTACACACTCCTGCCCCTGCTGGCACCCGGTGCCTCTGTGTACATAAGAGGTGATGTGACCAAGTGGGACCCAAGGCTGGTCTTGTTACAGGCAGAGCCCGCACCCAGATGACCTTGGCTCCGGAGCCACCTTGTAGGAAACAGTTGAGAACTTTAAAGAACAAGATTCACGAATATATTGCTAATAGATTTCTTTGGCTACTTTTATTATTTATTTTTATAATAAAAATATACAGGAATGATAAAATATATCTAGTTTATTCAGTTACTGCTAAAGAAGAACGTCCCTTATTATCTAAGACTAGAAATTGAGAAAATCACTAGAGAAATGGGCTGGTCAAATTGTTCTCAGGTAAACAAACCTCATAGCCCTCAAGCAATGGAACATTGTGCAGCTTTACTCTAGAGAAGATAGGAATGACGGGGTCACTGAGACAGTGCTGTCACCTGATCTGACTCTGAGTTCCTTACACTGTGGGAAGCTGGGCCATCTGCCGGAGCCCAGGGCAGATGGAGTCACCCGAGAACCAGAGCCAGCCACAGTTTACACGCTCTCCAGCTTGCTCTGCAGGTTGTCACTGTGACAACTGTGCCCGTGAAGATACTATGTTTTGGATGTCACTGCAGGTCTCTGAAAGAAGCACAAGTGTGTCTTGGGAGGGCGGGTGGTTGGCCTGAGTGAGGCCAGGGTGACTGGTACCCACCTCTGCTGACTTGGCGACTGATCTGTGTAGGAAGGCCAGCTCAGAGTCCTGCATGAGGGTAGGAGTGGGGAACAGTGCACGCCTGATAAGCTCAAAGACCTGACCTGACCTTAGGACCCAGCACCAGCACTGACACTAGCTAGGCATAGCCAAAGCACGCTCGGACCCCCAGTACGGTGAGGGGTGAAGACTGCAGGACATCCAGCCTGGCCAGAAGTCTGAGCTCCAGGTCCAGTGGTGAGAGGGTCTCAAGGGAACAGGGCAGGTCACCCAGTGTCATGTGTCTCCTGCCACACCTGCACATATGTGCAAAAGCACAGAGTTCTACATTAGAACCAGGTGTGGTGACACAGACCTGTAATTTCAGGGTTTGGGAGGGAGAGAGGAGGATCAGGAGTTCAAGGTCAGTTTAGGCTATGTAGTAAGTTTGAGGCTGAGATCTTGAAACAACCTTTTTTTTTTTTTTTTTTTTTTTTTTTGCCTTTTTCGAGACAGGGTTTCTCTGTATTGCTTTGGGGGCTGTCCTGGAACTCTCTCTGTAGACCAGGATGGCCTCGAACTCACAGAGATTCGCCTGCCTCTGCCTCTCAAGTGCTGGAATTAAAGATGGGGGTTACCAACGCCTGGCTTTGAAACAACCTCTTAACATTGTGTGTGTTGTGTGTGTGTGTTTGTGTGTTTACTGAGGACTGAATATAGGGTGGGCAAAGCTCTCTGCTACTAAACTAAGTCTCAGCTCACTGTGTGATGGCTGAAGAATATGCCAACTGTCCTCATTCTCCACCTCTAAAATGTTTTTGTTAGCATATATTATTTGTAATAGGTTTTATTAAGTTTTCATATACCTCCATGATGTATTTTGACCATTTTAATCACCCATAACCCCATCTGGTCTGTCCCCACTCTCCGGTGGTCCCTTTTCTGAACCAGCCCCTCCCCTTTCTACTGACTGACAACCTTTGAACATTATTCTGCAGTGAGCAATGGCCTCAGTGTTGGCTTGATATGAAGACTGGCTAGAGGAAAGAATCCAGCTCTCCTGATGTGTTTTACAGAAAGTCTACAGCCATGCTCAAACCCTAGGATAATATGCCACTAAGGATATCCCAAGAGAAGTCCTTTGATATTGTTGCAAATTTTACTGTGTTTCAAGGGTGTGAAATTCATAATAAAATTGCTTTTGGAAATAGATGCATAGTCCAGTTGGTCAGTCAGCATACCTGTGTCTCATGGAATGGGTGCATACTACATTTGGAACGTGTCCTCAAACCATCTTCTTTTTTCACTTACATGTTTGTGTGTGTGTGTGCTGGTGTTCTCCAAGGCCAGCAGCAGGGTATGGGATCCACAGGAACTGTACTTGTAAGCCACCCAATGTGAGGGCTGGGAACTGACCCTGGACCTTCTTTCTGTAAGAGCAGCAAGCACTCTCAGCCATCCATCATCCTTCTTTCCAGCCCCACATCTTTTGTTTGAAACAGCATCTCTCACTGGATCTGGGGTCACTAGGTGTGTGTGTGTGTGTGTGTGTGTGTGTGTGTGTGTGTGTGTGTGTGTGTTCTCATGTCTGTGTGTGTTCTCATGTCTGTGTGCAGGTGCATATGGAAGTGTGTGGTGGGTGTTTTTTCAGTTTCTCTCCACTTTACTTTTTTTGAGATAGGGTGCTACTCTGTGGCATCCCTGGCTGGTCTTGGTGCTCTATGGATTTACACACCAAGATGGTCTCAGACTCAGAGATCACTTGCCTCTTCAGACTAGGATCAAAGGCTTGTGCCTCCACACCTAACCACCTTGTTTTTGGTGCCTCACTGAACCTGAGTTCACCAATTTAGCTTCAAGGACTGCATACGCTACTAAGACTCTGCCACAAAATGTCAGAGGGTCCTGGGGACCTAGGTCTGTTGGTAAAGTGCTTGTTACACAAGCAGGAGAGTCCCAGTTTGGATTCCTAGACCCACATGAAAAGCCAGACACAGGCTGAAGAGATGGCTCAGCCAGCAAAGTGCTTACCACACAAGTGTGAGGACCTGGGTTCAGATCCTTAGCACCTGGGCAAAAGTGGGACATGGCCACATGTGCCTATAAGGCCCGCACTGGGGAAAAGGAGATAGGCATATTACTAGGGCTTGTTGGAGGAGGGGGTATGCCAGGTGCCAGAGGAGGCCAGAAGCCATGGCTCCCCTGAAACTGGAGTTACAGGTGGTTGTAAGCTGCCTGATTGCCTGATGTGGGTGCTGGGAACCAAACCCTAGTCCTCTACAAGAGCAGCATCTCTCCACACCTGTACCAGTGACTTTTTTAAGAGGGAGACATGCCGGGCGGTGGTAGCACATGCCTTTAATCCCAGCACTCGGGAGGCAGAGGCAGGTAGATCTCTGTGAGTTCGAGACCAGCCTGGTCTACCGAGTGAGTTCCAGGACAGGCTCCAAAACAATACAGAGAAACCCTGTCTCGAAAAACCAAAAAAAAAAAAAAAAAAAAAAAAGAGGGAGACATGAGTGACATGTGGCCTCTCCTGATGAGATGCACCTGCCTCATCCCTGTCAGGTGTGGCCTGTCCATAAGGGACTTCCCGACCTCTAACAGTGTGAAATAAATTTTTTCTTTTTTTTGTTTTTTTGTTTTTGGGTCAGGGTTTCTCTGTATTGTTTTGGAGGCTGTCCTAGAACTCACTCTGTAGACCAGCCTGACCTGGAACTCACAGAGATCCGCCTGCCTCTGCCTCCCAAGTGCTGGGATTAAAGGCATGAGACACCAACGCTCGGCAAAATCCCTTTTTTTTTTTTTTTTTTTTTTTGGTGGTGGTGCACGCCTTTATTTTTTTTTTTTAATTTTATTTTCCAGTTTAAATTTAGATAAGAATCAAGGTTGCTTCACAAGTCAGTTCCAGGTCCCTCTCCCATTCCCTCCCTTCCTCCCGTGCCCCCCCCCGTTATCCTCTCATTTCTCCAGGGAGGGTGAGGCCCTCCATGGGGGTGTCCATAGTGTGTCATTTCATATAGGGCAGGGCCTAGACCCTTTCCCAAGAGTTCTGGGTGAGAGTGCACCTCACATTGTTCTATTGGAGTCCAAAGTCCGTGTGTATACTTGGGATGGGTACTGATCTGCTGCCCAAGGCTCAATAGATTCCCTAGGCCTCTTCACTGACACCCAGATTCAGGGGGTCTTGATCAGTCCCATGCTGGCTTCCCAGGCTAATGCCTGGGCAAAATCCCATTTTTTTCTTTGGCTTTTTTGTTTTGTTTTGTTTTAAAACACCACTACCCGGCTTATTGTCATAGTCTTACTTTATCACTAAAACCCTAAACATTTCTCTTTCATTTACTCTTATTACTGCTAATTAATTCTTTAAATACTCTCCTGTGTCCTTCGCAGCTGCACAGAATGGACTGACAGGTGGGGTGCTGAGGACTCCACTCAGCTTTATGCATGCTCAGAGTACACAGGCGTCCAGGGAACCTGGCTTTTATGTAGTCAACAGCAAGAGCATCGCTCAGAAAGCCACTGCCTCTTGAAAGCCGGCATCAGAGCTGCTTGTGGCTCTGTCTTAGTTAGTGCCCCCTTCCCAAGCTGATTGCCTTGCACTTCCCAGGCTAGCAGCCCCATCCCCTGCTGAGGACACTCATTCCACTCCTTCCTGCCCCCCCCCCCACGCCTTCTTGTCTCATGGCTAATTGCCAGCCTCCACGCGCTTCCCACTCAGGTGGGGATGGCTGGAGTGCATCCGAGAGAGTACACCTTCAATGGTTAGGATGCGTTCCTGTGATTATCTCTCGGCAACCGAAGCATCCAAAAGTACATCACTGAGCTAATATACGCTCCATGGCTTCTGCAGGCTGCACTGTCCACATGCTACCTGGACACTTGCTCCCAGCAGGCTTTCCTTGCCAGTGCCCTGTCTGTCCACCCTCTACCTGGAGGTGGCTGGAGTCCCAATGTATGCAGGAGGAATCTCTGTGCTGTGTTATCAGGCATAAAGGAAAATCCTTTTCCCCAAATCCCAAAAGGCAAAAGGGACAAGCGGCTACCCGTGGTTCCATTAGCATACCAAAGAGCGTGCTGGCCTCCAGGCTCCCTCTGTGCCTCATTCTTCTCGCCTCAGCCAACTCTGAATTTCTCCAGCTCACAGGCTTCCCTTTTCCCAGCTGTTCAATTCTCCTTATAACCTTGCTATTTTGGCTTTGCACTCTCTATCTGTCTGTCTCTCTCTGTCTCCCTCCTTCCCCTCTCTCTCTGCTCTCCTCAACTGTCCTCTCTATGTTGCTCTCTCTGTTCCTGCCTGTCTCATTGTCTGCTCCGATTCTGCTGGTCATGCTCAGTCTACTACTCTGTCCTGCTCTGGACTCTTGCAGCTGTGTAGTTGGCATTTTCTTTGGGTTGCCAACCAGCTCCCCAATAAAGACACAGATACTTATTAATTATGAATGCCTGGGCTTAGCTCAGGCTTGTCCAGTTAGCTCTTTTAATCAAATCTAACCTGTTTCTATTCATCTACTTTGTTTTGTTTTTTGAGACAGGGTTTCTCTGTGGCTTTGGAGGCTGT